ATATATACACACACATATATATATATATATTTTTTTTTTTTTTGTTGATTCAGCCCAGTCTGAAAGAACTTGTAATCAGATTGAGACGAGTGGTCGAGTGGTTTATGCCATGTGGTTTATGGGGTGGCTGTGGCTGAGTGGTTAGAGCAGTCGTCCTCCAATGTAAGAGTTGGGGGTTCGAATCCACCAGCAGTCACATCCTGGGCAAGACACTGAACCCCTCATAGCCTCTGATGTGTTTCCCATCAGTGTATGAATGTGATAAAGCTCTGATTAGTCTCATTAGAATGATTTGTTCCATTAGCTTTGTAGAGATCTTGTATAGAGCTGTATGAATGGGTAAATGAGGCACAGATTGTAGTGTAAAGCGCTTTGAGTATCTTGAAATTAGATAGAAAGGCGCTGTATAAGTACAGTCCATTTACCATATCCATTTATAATCTGAACGGTGTGCATGTTAACACTTAATCTGATCATATTATTCTGATTGTGGAAAACTGACCTGACTTCGCATGTGTGACCTATGTATACTTCACGTATTTCCGCCTGGCTAGATGCTAATATGTCTGGGAAGCAAAACTGGTCGGTGAGCGACACAACATTTCTACTAGGATCTTTGAAAGAGCTCAAAATGATCTGTATTACTCGTAGCTCAGTCAGGGAGTGCAGTAACGTCTCCACCGTCATTAAAACCTGTCACAGGTCCATTTTGGGCGCTCAGGTTTGTTTACGTTCATCACGGAAGTAGAACTTCTTCTTCTGTGTTTTTTTTTTAAGGAGAGTTTACCACTCTGCTCATGTCAGTACTTCTGTTCAAAATAAAAACCCCTGCATTTAAACGTTCATAATGATGACAACACATAACACTTTACTTTTACTTTACTCATGCGTCCTATGATCTGTCAGAAAAAAAGCTCATTAGAGCTGCCCCTCTGCCACTGGGGGAGGGGTGGCTCAGAGGTTAGAGAAGGTTGGCCTGTGATCGGAAGATAGTCGGTTCAACTCCTGGTACTAACAACATCAAAATGTGGGTGGGAAAGGTGAAGCACCCACACCTGCCTCCACCCTCATTTTCCCCATTCGGGGCCCTTGAGCCCCTAACCCCAATCATCTGCTCCCTCGGGCACCCTAGACAGCAGCTCTCTGTTCCTCCACTCAGAGGGCTGTGGTAGCTTGGTGTTCTGTGGTCGCATCAAGAAGTCTGTCCAGTGTAAAAATAATTTACCAAGTCTTCATGCGACTTAGTTCACTGTGGTGACTCCTGACGAATGGAGCAGCTAAAAAAAAAAAAAAGCTGCCACCCACGGACAAAAAGGGAACGAATCTTCCTGCTGCCTGTGGACTTGCTTGTAGCTCTTAGCAGATGTGATGGCAAGTCTCAGGAATGACCCAAGGACGGTCTGTGATTCCTTCAGAGCCTTATTAGTTCATGTTTGTGGATGCTGCAGCATCTCCAATCTGGTTATTGTCAACATTTGTTCTGTGGTAGACTTAAAGTAACCTTGTGAAGATGTAGCGTCATAGATGAAGATGAACAGCTCTGTTTTTTTTTCCAGCACTGACTTAAAGTCACTCAGCTAACCTGTGTAATTCTGATCAGATGTTTACTGTGTGTTGAGGTTCCTGGACACATGCCTTTCTAATGCCATTATTATTATTTTTTTTACAAAATTTGATCTAGTCTGTGTTTAAACCATCTGCTCCCATGAGTCAGCTGTAACCATCAAACAAATGGCAATCGTCATCACAAGTTTTCAAAACAAAAAGTAGGTCATTTAAAAAAATGACGTACTTCAAGAGCAAAAAACCCCTGGTTTACTGTGTACAAGTTGCTGACATGTTAATTATAAATCAAATGAACACTCAGACAAAACAGAAAACGAACTTTTAGATAAACAGAAGTGATTCAGTATATAAAAAATATTCTTCTTCGTTTGGCTGGTCCCTGTTCAGGGGTCGCCACAGATGCAAACTATCTCATTGTCTACTGAACACAATTTAATAAAACTTTCAGTAAGTAATCATTAAATTAGCATCAACAACTTATTAATCATTAGAGTCAACTTAATTTAAGATGGCCATTACAGCTTATCAACATTAGTCAACACATAAATAGATGTAAATTTGTCAGTTATGCAGATACTGAACTAAACTTGTCAGGATCTGCGTTTTTTGTTGTACTTAGTAGTACTTGGTGGTACTTTTGTGTTGCATTGAGCATGCATAAGGACTCTTTGTGTTAGTTTCTTTAGGTTTTTATAATTGTTGTGTTCATTTCCTCCTTGTTCCTTTAAGTATTTCTGTATTCTGCAGTGTTTTGTGCGTGTTCATGTCCACCCACACTCACCTGTTGCTGGTTGTCTCCCTGTCAGGTATTATCACGTTCATTATTGTTTACTTGATATTCTGCTTTCCTTGGTTTACTTGTTTACTTGCATTTTTCTTTCCACAGCCAAGTTGTGATTACCTCCGTGTGTGCCTTGTGTTTGTATTTTTTGTTAGTTGACTCACTGCCACATCAGGAGTTTCTTTTGTTATTAAATCAGGTTTTTGTTAACTTCAAGCTCTTGAGTCCTGTCTGTAACCTTGGGCTCACAAACCTCCAAAAACTGTGACAAAACGTTGATGGGTAGTAGCTGATAAGTTAGAAATAACATATACAGTACATTGAGTGTGTCATTTTGCAATATCACATATCAGTTTTTCTTAGGTTTGACCAAAACATTTACAGCCAGTGGTGATTTTATCCTCTTTTGGGGGGTGATCAAGCACCCCTAAATTTGAACTCAGCTCACCTGAAAAATAAAGTAAAAAAACCCAAAACATACAAATATATATATATATACATATATAT